CTGACCCGCCGCTGCCGCTGCTGCTCCGGTGCACCGCAGACACAGCTGCTGCTGCTGCTGCTGCTGCCGCTGCCGCCGGAGACAAGTTGGTGGCGGCCGTGCTTTGGGTCTCTGCCGTGGGGGACACCAAGCCCGGCGGGGTGGAGGACTCGTAGCCGGAACTGGCTGCAGGCGAGGATTCCGAGCCTTGCGGAGAAGACTCGTGAACCTGAGAGCCCGGAAGAAACAAAATAATGTCAATGATCGCCTTTAAAAAGAAAAAAAACAAAAACAAAAAAACCACTAAACAAACCACAAAGCCGGTACCTCGACCTCATTCCCAGATTCTTTTCCCTCCTCGTTCTTTTTCTTAAAAATTATAGACTCAGCTCCACTGCAACCAAGGGGGTGGGTTTTTTCCCTTCCCCATTGTGAAATTCCGGTGAAAAATAAAGTTGCACAAATCCCCTTGAAGTAGTGTGACAACGGCTCAGAGACTTCCTCCTCTTTCTCCAAACTGGCGCCCCATTTGAGCCGTGATTCCCCCTCTGCCGGAAGATAAGCAGCACAGATTTCAAATTTACTTCCTTCCCAATAAATCGCCTGTGGATACGAGGGGCCAAAATCATCCTCCCTTGTGGGTCAGGCCCTCGGGGTCTAGTCCCCCCCCGCATCTCCCGGCAGACTGCTCCCCTTTCCCTTCATTACCTTCATGTGTTTCCGCAGGGAGCTGGGATGCGTGTAGGATTTGTCGCACATCTTGCACAAGTAGGGCTTGTCCGAAGTGTGGACGTGCATGTGTTTCTTTCTGTCGCTGCTGTTGGCGAAGCGTCTGTCACAGCCTTCGAATTCACACTGGAAGGGCTTCTCGCCTGCAAGAAGGAAACGTCAGCCCGAATGGGAGAAGCACATGTTTTTTTTTAAAAAAACATGTAGCCCGCGGACTTTGAATTTAAACTGCTTTTCTGATATAGCCTTTCCAAATAAAATAAAATAAACAAAGTGGCTGAGAGATGACAGGAGAATGCTGGACATCCTGATTTGTTTGTTTGTTTGTTAAATAGAGGGAAAATAATCTATTCACATTTTGTGGTGATTTCCTTGGCCTCCGGTATCCAGAGAAGTTTATTTCAGAAGCTGCCTGGATTTCAGAGGAATTTAGGATAACCAAAGAAGGAAACACTGTGTTATTGTATTGGAGCTAACTTAAAACTTAAGCAAACCTAAGCGTAACAATTCACCAGAAGCAAAAACTAAGCCAGTTAATATAAGAGAAACTAGGAATTTTCATAAATTCCTTGTATCTGTGGATTTTGTTTTTAAGATACTCATACATAATAGACAACATAAAGTGATCACAGAGGAGAAAGATAAATTATGGTCACCCTTTCAAAAGCCTGAAACAACCCAATCCCGGTTCTTGGTGTCAGAAACCAAATAATCCCATAGCCCATTATAGAATCTGTTCTAAATTTAAAGCCGTCTCCACCTCCAAACACCCATAACCAGTTAAATCTGGGCACAAATAATTCAAGGCCTGAAATACTGTCGCATTTATTTTTCTTTCACCTCAAGTCAGTCCTCAGATGTTTGCTGAAGACCAGCGGGGGGGGGGGGGGGGGAGAGAACGAAGAGATATATATGCAAAATCCTCCTGGAATTTTCTTGGAGCTTTTTCACCCTTTTGCCAGATTTCTGAGCAATTTAAAGGTGTGAAAACTCGAACATCATTACCCTCGGATCCCTCTCTCCCGCCTCTCGAAATCGGAGACGGGAGAGAGGCGCGATTTCACGTGAAATTCCATTAGCACTTAAATTGTTTCCTAAAGACATCCGCTCAGGCCCCAATCGCAGGCATCTCCATTCAAATCAACGTCTCGGGTTTGTTAAACCTTGTTAAAGCCCGTCTCACACCTAAGTCTGTTCAAAACACTTCGACAACACACAACCAGAAAGGGCCTCCTAGCTTTACTTCCTTTTTTTCCTAGTCAATATTGATGTCCGGAAATCGCTCAAGCATTTACTTGTCTTTTTAAGGGACCGGGTGGAAGAGGCTTGCTAGATTCTTTTTCTGCCCCACACTCAAGCCGGTTTAGCCCTAGGAAGCAAGCTCCGGTTCCTTTCGCGCCCATTCGTCCTTCTGGGGAGGGGAGTAGGAGGATCCTACGCCTGGAGGTTTGTCAACCTTAAAACCTTCTGCAGCTTATTATATAATTTTAATAAACTCAAGCAAAACCACCTTCGGCCGCCCCAGGTGAGACTTCCAAAACACTTTTGGAAATGAGAAAATTTTATGGCTCTGCCTCACCCCATTTAAATCTAATAGAAAGCAGCCGCCGGAAAGCAGGGCGAGGGACCAGGGAGCGGAGCGGAGGGAAGGGTGAGGAGGAACAGCTCTGAACAGCTCTAAACGCTAGCTAGAAGACAGAAGACAGAGATATTTTGAAACACGCAGTCGAAAAGGCAATCCTACCTGAAATTTCCCTGCCCGTTTCTCAGCTGATACCACCCTGCCTTGTTTGACTGTCCATTTATTTATTTGTTTTCTAGAAAGGCAGTCAATGCGTTTACTTCACTAACGCCTCAGATATGAACAAATTTGCTTGGAGGGAAGAGACTTTCAAATCAGCATATCGGAAATCCTATTTTTGTTTGGAAGCAGACCTCTCTGAAATTAACGGGACCATTTTTTTAAAATCACGAAAGGATTTCAAGTTTGCCTGGGAAGTTCATTCTAAATCTGCCTTCGCCCTGCAGCTGTTTGTTATTTTGCATTTTTTTTCTCCTTTCAAAGAAGGTAACCCCTTCCTAAATCGCAACTCTCATTGATTTCAGTGTCTTACTTCCCTGTAAACCTGCTTAGAAATCTGGCCCTGGCTCAGCAAAATTTTAAAGGACGTACATTGGAAAACTGTTGTTGTTGAAAAGACAGCAATGGAACAAAACTAAGCGTCATTTAGGTAAATGTTCGAGTTCACCAGCATGGCTGGGTAAAAGAGGAGGCAGGATCTTTCTGCATTGTTTGAAGCTTGGGGGGGAAAAAGCGGTAGTTTTTTGTTTTGATTTTTCCCACCCCTTTGATAAATACGTCTGCCTGTGGTAGGGGCCTCCCACAGCCCTTTTACACCCGAGCAAGAATCTTCCGCCCTGAACTGACCTGTGTGCGTCCTTTTGTGAATCTTGAGGTTCTCGGAGCGGGCGAAGACTTTGCCGCATCCCGGGAAGGGGCAAGGGAAAGGCTTCTCGCCCGTGTGCACGCGGATGTGGTTGACCAGTTTGTATTTGGCCTTGAAGGGCTTCCCTTCGCGAGGACACTCCTCCCAGAAGCAGATGTGGTTGCTCTGCTCGGGTCCCCCGACGTGCTCAACGGAGACATGGGTGACCAACTCATGCATGGTGCTGAAAGTTTTATTGCAACTCTTTTTGGGGCTGCTGAGCTGCTCGGGATCGATCCACTTGCAGATGAGCTCCTGCTTGATGCACTGCTGGCGCATATAGCGGAAGAAGGCCCCGGGGTGATGGTGGTGGTGGTGGTGGTGATGGGCATGGGGGTGGGCGTGTGGGTGGTGGGCATGGTGCGCCGCCATGTTCATGCCCATGTTCATGTTCATCGGGCCGTACTGGCCGTGCAGCTGGGCCGCGGAGTAAGGGTCAGTCCTGGGGCTGGACACCTGGCGGTACTGATCCGACCGGCCGAAGACTTCCCCGGGCAAGCCCAAACGCATCTGCCCGTTGAGCACGTTGGGCGATCCGGGCGCGCCATGCTGGTCCCCAATGCCCGGGAAGAGCAGGTGGCTCTGCGCCTCCGCATGCGGGTGGTGGAGGCTGCCGGTGGCCGCCGCCGCCGCTGCTGCTCCGAAGAGCCCGTGCTGTCCTCCGCCGGCCGCCGCCGCCGCCGCTTCCCCGAAGCCTCGGCTCCGAAACAAGAAGTCCCGCGGGGAGTTGAACGGCGGCCCGGAGGAGGAGCCCACATGGGCGGCGTGCGGGTAAGCCGGCGCCTGCGAGCTGAAGGCCGAGCCTTGCCGGGGCGAG